CCCCCCCCCCTCCATCAGCCCTTCACTTCTGCAACTGTCCCCTCGGGATGGGCCAAAGGAGCCAGCTGCACTCAGCCAGCCGTGCCCTGGAAGAGTCATGCCCAGGACTCAGACGCTGATGAGGTTTCTCCAGCCGATCCTCTGGAATGTCAACCTCAGGAGACTCCAGGCCAGGAGTCATTGGACCCAGCACAGGCATCCTCAACGCAACTGAAGCAGCCAGATGAGGACGTGGCCTCCAAGCCCCTCAGACTCGGGCAGGAGAGGGACACTCAGTCAGGCTCCTTGCCAAGCAGGGAAGTAACTCTCCTGATTAAAGACTGGTTGAAAGGTAGCCCTGCCTCCTATCCCTCTGCTGTAAACAACCATCTTTGTTGTGTTGCGTCTGTGAATCTTGTGTATAAAACTCTGACCTTGGATTTGCAACAAAGCACACTTGGTGCTCTGAACTTTGGGCTGCACGTGGCTGTTGAAAGCCCTCCCTCCGCCCATATGTGACATGCATAATTCCAAGACCAGCAAGGGGAAGGCCCATCTTTCAGAGAGCAGGTGGAGGGAAGAAGAAGAGTGGGTGCCAGGAGGGTCTGCCCCATCTTCCCTCACCTGCTTTAAGGCCAGTTCCAGCCGTGTCTGCTTCAAGACGGACATCTTGCAGACGGTGTCCCAACGGTTGCTCAGCTCCTGAAGCTGCACTTTCACCCAGGTGGTGTCGTCTCGGCTGTTCTCAATCAGTTCACGACCTGAACGCTTGAGAACCTGGATGGTGCCCGTCCGCTTGCCAAGCTCTTTCTGGAAAACCTAAGAAGGAAATGAAAAAATACTCTTGAGCCAAGCTTCACTCGGGGTGACTAAATATAGTTTTCTTGTCAAGGTCAGAAGTGGTTTATTTTTTCCTTAATAAGCTTCAAACCTCTGGTATGCTTGGGCTGCACTGAGTGATGCATATAAAATATATATAATGTAGTTAATTTATATAAATGAGGGGTCCTTGGTGCTCTCTTAGGCTGGGTTCCTAAGACAGGGTTCGCAATTTGGGAGTCCTCCTGGACCCACAGCTGACTTTTGAACACCACTTGTCGGCTGTGACCA